GGGGCCGGGGGGCTCCGGGACAGCCCCCGGAGCAGGAGACGCCTGTGGTCAGGGGCCCGGCTGTGCTGTACCCACTGGGGACTAGTCAGGGAGGGGCCCGAAAGGCCCCGGGCGGGGGCAGGGGTGAAGAGACAGGGTGCGTTTTGACCCCCGCCCCCCAAACAGACATTCGAATGTGCTGACCTACGTGCTTCACGCCGTCCATGATCGACCGAAAGAACTTGCGAACCCGGTCAGCCACCTCTTTGGCCTTCTGGGCAATGGCCTTAATCTTGTTCAGGGCACCTGAGAGGCAGGGGCAGGGGCACTGTGGGGCGGCCCTCACCACCGGCCCCCGGTAGGGAGCGGGCGGGAGGCGGGTCTGGGAATCCCGGTGGAGTCGCCCAGTGAGTGAGGTCAGGGGTCTAACTGGGCGTCCCGAAGTCAGGGCCCCAGCAGAGAGGAGTGGAGCCAGAGACACAAGACCGAGGGGCCGCGGGGGGCCTTACTGACGAGGGGCCGCTTGGCCCGTTCCAGCGCTTCGGCGGTCTGGTTCAGGGCCAGCTCTGCCCCGCAGGCCACGGCCTTGCTGGCCTGAGTGAAGTTGTGCAGGGTGTTGGCACAAGGCCCTTGCAGCACCAGCCCAAAGGCAGCCACCATCAACAGGGCCCGGCCCTGCTCTGGGGGAGACGGCTCCATCAGAAACAGGACTCCAGCCTTGCAGGCGGCAGCATCTGCAAGCCTCTCAAGGAAGCCTCCAGAATATTTCCCTCGAGCCTCCCCCTCCCCCAGGATCCCTCCTGCCCCTCCCCCTGGGTGCCTCGCTCACTGGAGAAGGCCTGGGGCAGCAGCAGGAGGACGGTGACCCGGACCTGGCGGGAGAAGCCCATGCCCAGGCCGAGGAAGGCGGCCAGAGTGAGGGTGCCCACGAGGCAGGCCCAGGGGCTGTGTTCTTCCACCAGCAACTCCAGGAGCCCGTAGGCCGTGGCCAAGGACAAGCCCAGGGCGAAACCCCCCACGCTGCGGACCACGGCCCGCGACGTGCTCGGCTCCTCGGCCCCCACGGGGGCCATGGCCGTCGGGTCCAAACGTGTGCCTGTTTCCAGGAGACGCCCGCGGGGTTCTGGGGCTCTTCCGGGCTCCCGGAATCCCTCCCCACATTCTAAGGTTCCGAGGCCCCACATTCTAAGGTCCTGAGGCTTGTACCACACCTGTGCTGGAGGGCCTTACCCAGCTGCAGGACTGGGGAGGGGGAGGGAGGTCTCGAATCTCCTGCCCCAAGTCTCAGAGCAGAGGGGCGAGAGACACAGACCAGACAGGCTGTGGGCGCGGCAGAGGGGCCGGAGCGGAGGGGCCGGAGCGGAGGGACGAGAGCGGGTGCAGACTCATGGTCATCACACCTCATCGGGATGGAGCCACAGGGCAGAGGAAGCTCCCCCACACCAGTGAGTCAGTCCCAGAGACCCTGCCCTTCCCCAGGGCCTCCCAGCCCCCAGGCATCCGTCCAGTGTCTCCCGCCCCCCCTTCCCCCACCGTGG